AGTTTGATTGATCGGACTGGCAACTAAAGTTGGTATTTTGGGAAATCTACATCATTTTTGATGAACTTCAGCCAACCCCTGAGGGACGAGAAGAGAGAGATGGGGATGGAGGTAAGGGTGGGATCTATAAATTTGAATTAACCAATTAAAAAAACCCTCAATTTACCACCCTTTGGTAATTTAATTAGCAAATGCTGTTCACGGCAATGAGCTCAACTGCATTCACATGATAATTTCATTCGGAATCAATCTGCTAATTAGTACTAATTGGGACAGTAAAAAAATATTTTTGTTTATAGGTTTTTTTTCCGGAGTAATTTGAGCTGCATTTGATTTGTAATGGAAATTAAAATTCAATGATTTTAAGCTACTTACAAAAGTGAAGCTATCTTTATAAACCTTTTTTTTTTTCTAAAAACCCATAATTTGCATAAAACATACAAAATTCCAAACTTTTAATTTAAAGTTTATGTTATAAATAAATTTTAAAATTATCAACACTCCATACCTTCTTCACTTTCTCATATTTAGTTCATTAATGTGTGCATATTAAGCAAACAAGAAAACAAAAAATAATTTTTCAAAGGTACCAAAACGCAAAAGTTCCTCATTTTCTATTTTGGAGTTAAAACCCCGAGCGGCACAAAGGCTCCATTTGCCTTCCATATGGAAGCTATACGGAGCCTCCATGTTCCACCCTCCATTTGAAAATCTTCCGAAAACCTTACTATCATGGAACTTTGACGGAGCCAAAGCTCCGAAAATCCTCCGTGGGACGTGCATTTATTAACACCAAATGGAAGTCATTTGAGAGGTTTTGATGGAGGATGGAGGATCCATTTGTGGTAGTCAAACGGAGGTTTAATGGAAGTATTTTTCAAAGGATTTTTGGTACGATTTTCCACGTGTTTTTCTATGTTTCGCAGTTTTTATATCAAGATTTGTAGCTGTATTAGTGGACTTAATTAAAGTACACTAACACTATTGAAAAATTTACAACTTAATTTAATTAAGTCGCAACCACAGCAATTTCTAAGTCTCGATCACACGCGTGAGAAACATAAGAAATTATTAAAAATTTTCATACAAATTAAACGACCCCATATAATAGTGATTTCTGCATGCGCTTGTGAAGTATGTAATTTCATACAAAATCACAAAAAATTATCCTTTTTTGCTTTTTTAAAGCTTGAAATGAAGCAATATGATTCAGTAAAGCTTTTCGACAATATTTCAATCCATTACAGTAAGATCTGACCTCTGTCTTTTAAAAATTCAAAAGCACGAGTTTTTCGGTATTTGATTTAAGAAAAAGCGGAGTTCATATGGAATCCAAATGGAATCAATATGAAGGATGAAAAAATAACCCTCCATTTACTTCCCACATAGTGGAGGTGGCTTTCATATGGATTCCATATGGAGACCACCCTCCACCTTGTGCCGCTCGTTAACGACAGGAGAAAAAAAACTTAATTAAAAGTTTCTTCTTTATTATTTGCATATGAAAGTTTCGTTCAAAAGACCACAAATTTTCATGAAAATTAAATTAAATTTATTTGTGTTTCTTGTTGGCATTGCTGTAAGCAGAGAGAAAAATGATAGAGAATACTTTTATGGTCATTTTTTGCTTTACTGTTTTTGATTTTACAATATTTATATTTTTAAGTCTTTAAAATTAAGCGATGGGGTGGGAAGAAGGTGGTTCGGAAAGAAAGTTAATTAAATAAAAGATTCTGATTTTGGACAGTAATGTTAATGAGCTTCCTTACCATTCACACCAAGATTTAACACAATGAGCCTAGTAACAATTTTTAAATTCAACACCTGATTTCAATTTGTAACTTTATTTTATTAGCTTCCTCTCGATTCTATGCCAGTGGTTCTCAACCTATAATGCAAGATTTACAAATTTGAGTTAAGACTGACACAAATTAAATTGTATAAGAAACAATAATCCATTAACATGATTCAGACTAATTCAGGCACTAGCTTTGAAAGAAAAAAATTTTGAAAAAGACAGACACAATGAAGAAAAAAAAATTTTGTATATCTTTTAATTTTCAATTCCATCTTTATCTTTTGCTCTATTAAACTTCTCCTTTCGATGTATATGTTAGAATATAAAATAGACTGTTTTGGGCAAATAATGTCTTAGTTCCGTAAACTTCCTCTCCCTCGATCGTTTGGCACAAAAAAAAAATATTTTTTTGCTTAGTGATAAAAATTCATTTTTTTGTGCATCTAATTTAATCTACATAAAATGATTGAATTCTCTTGCTGAAAAGACGAGCCGAATCCAATCCTCTGTGAAACTAGAAAAAAAAAACTTTCAAATGAATTGAAAAAGATAAAAAAATATATTTTTTTATGCAACTTTGACTAATGAAAAACTTAGAAAGTGAGTTGAAAAATATTATTTTGATGAATTTTTGTGTGTGATTGTGAATGTGTGCGAGTGTGCAGTGCCGTTAGAAAAAAAAAGGAATTGAAAAAGTTTTGCTTGCCAATGAAGAAGAAGAAAGGAGGAAGTTTTTCTTTTATAAAATAAATTTTCTAATTTGAAATATGAAATGAAATGGAATAGAAAAGAAAACTTTTTTTTTGAATGAAATCAAGGATTATGAGCTTGGGATAAAGGAATATTGCTAGTTTGTGGACTTAGATAGGTAGTCTTGGGCGTTCCTGGTTCATTAGTAGACCTAATGAAATCAAATTTATAAGTCACACTTATCTAAGGCTTCAACACCCCCCCCCCCTCCTGTCCTTTTCTTATAATTTTTTTTTGACCAATTTAAAAAGAAATAAAAATTGCCTTTTAAAAAGCAATATAAAAATCGCACTAGTGTCCCATCCTCACCTCTTCTCTTATCTATTTCTAAACTTTTGATATTCATTGAATTGAAAAATTTAAATTCATTAAATCAATTTGTTTTATGCATGCATATCAATTTAAATAAATTTTTTCATCATTTTCAATTTAAAATGCAATCAAAAAATGTGTTTGTGCGATCACTAAAAAATATTTGAGAGAGCTAGTGAGAGAATAAAAAAAAGAACTGAATTTTAATTGCGATGAGATGAATAAAGTCGCTCTATTATTAATTGATAAGTTGAATCTATTTGTCTACTAAATAAAGCGAGATAAGAAAATTTACTGTAAATTTTTTAGTCTCGCGTGTGCCTTTCATGTTCTGTGCTGTAAAATACGAGTTTTGTGATTTAAATTCAAGCGACTCAAATAATGGCCACAAAAGGTTGATTTTTAACAAAAGTTTTACCTCAATACAATGTCTTTATTGTGCAGAAGTGATGAAAGAAGAAGGAAAATAGAAATGAATGGGAAAAAAGTGCGGTGGAATAAAAAGGAAAATTATTTATGTTTGTAGACGAAAATAATGCTTATTGTTGGCAATTTGAGACAGTTTTGTTAATTTTTGACTTTAAATGGTTTTGATGATGCATGACTTTTAATTTCAAGGGTTTGGAGCTTCGTTGATGATTTGAAAAAATTAAAATCTTTATGAATTTGACTCCTAAGACTAGTTTTTAAGCTTAATAGTGTTCTTGATATCACCTTAATGTTTCTAGCCTCAGCTGATATGAATCATCTCTAAAATTGGTGACTTTATTTACCTGCAAGGTGAAAGAGTCGCTTCAAGCAACACTCATGCTCCCAAAATTTTTTTATTGCCAGAAAAAGATAAAGATTAAGGCAGACTGCTTCCATTAAAGTTAAAAACTTCAATTTTATTGCAACTTCAAAAATTAATTGATTGACATTTCATTAATTAATTTGATAAATATCTTCAAAATTATTGATGTCAATTAATAATAGACAATTTGATGATAAGACAAGCTGTTGCACATCTGCTTAATTAATTGAGTATATTTCCCCTCAAGTGTCCATTCCTCATTCAAAATAAAATTTCGGATGATCAAGAAGACCAGAAAAGTAAAGCAGGACAAAATAAAAAGAAAACTTTTACTCATTGTGTCATAAATAAATATTTTTTACAACTTCATGGACGAGAAATTGCAACAAAAAAAACTTTTAATAACCGAAATACACAAAGCAATAATCAAAACTTTTCTTTTTCTCATTCTTCGTATTTGCTTGGACTCTTGTTTGAAATTCTTTTTTTCTTCTTTTTATCGTAGCTGCATTTTTTACAGTGGATGAAACATTCCGCTTTGGGACATTGCGGTACGCTGGAAAAATGTATCAGCAATAAAATCTTAGGTTGAAATTTATTGGAATTTGTGGATGGAAGTTTAAGGTTTTGGGAGTGATTTTAGATTTTTTAGTTGAAATTCTTTATAATTTAATTATTGTGGGGATGCAGTGCGAAGGATTAATGCTTGATTAGCCACAAGCCAGTCTTTACAATGACATACTTAGCAAGATCCATGCCTTATATTCAAAACCTTCTCAAAATCTTCACAAGGGCTGAAAGCTCGAAACTAAATCGAAGCTTAATGCAATTTTATAACAAAACAAACTTTTTTTTTCTCCTTCTTTGCTCCTTTTGTTGCTCTCTCGTGCCCACCTACGAACAATGAATAATTTCGCAATAAATTTTTATTTTACTTTACAATTTTTTGTTCCCACCGTGGCATTATTTGTGATTTTTATTTATTTTTTTTGCTATAGAAAATTCGGAAAATTGTTAAATGAAAAAATAAAATCTACAATTATTCGAATTGAAATTTGTGAATGCAGAGAGAAATAAGGAATTGAAAAAAGTTTTCTTGAAAGGGTGAAGAAATTTTTTTTTGTAGATGGAAAATTTTTCTCGTTCTGCAAGCTTTGTATTTTTTGTTGCATCATAAATTGGACTTTGCACGTTGTTTCGAGTACAAAGGGGGATGACAGAGGGGCTTAGAATATTTTTAATGATTTTCTGCGCTTTTTCTGGTGTCATTAATTTGGAAAAAGTTGCTTATTCAATATTTTCTTGAGGACGTGCTTTTTTGTTGGAAAAAGTAAAAACATTTTTTTCTTAATTTTTGTATTTTTATTTTAAATATTGTCTTTAGTCTTCAATCACAACACTGTAAAAGGCTCGGAAGTTATCCAAATATTGAAAAGCCCTGAAAAAATCCATACATTTGATTCTGTCATCTTTAACGATTTTTCTTTCACCGAAATTCTCCTTCAAATTTGTCTTGACTTCATCCAGAAAACTTCCTCGTTTGATTTCACGGCAGCTCCAATCGATTCCAGAATTAACTTCCAAATTGACATTCTTTAACTTTTTAAGACCATCAAAGGCATTATCAGGCACAAATGAGATTCGATTCTTAAAGAATGAAATAGTCTCAAGATTTTGAGCATGTTCAAAGACATCTGAATCGATTGACGTGATCAAGTTTCCATTCAGCATCAATTTCTCAATCCTTTTACATCCAGTTAAGTCAACTTTTGATAAAGTTTTCAATCCACATGATATGACTGAGATTGACTTTAAGTTTGGATAGTAATTGTATAAATGACGTGGAAAGTTTTCAATTTTCTGATCAACAACGATCAATGTGTTGACGTCGATGTTGGATCTGCCTTCTAGATGAGTTCCTTGGATGCTCATGACACGTCCTGTTGATGCGATTCGATTGAATGCTGTGACTCGGCAAATATAAGATATTTCATCAGATAAAGCTGATGAGTAGTTGTAATATTCACAGAAAAGTTCCATATTTTGATTAGTTGTTGCTTGTTTAAATTATTAAAATTGAAACTTTTTGATTTTTTAAGATTTAATGCTGAATTTGCAATTTTAAGTTTAGAAATTTAAAAGATTTAAATTAAAATTTCTGATAGTTTTAACTTTTGATACTGAGTTGGCTAGTCTTCAACAGAGATTGATAACTTTACCTCAAATTTTCCAGAGTTTTATTCAGAATTTTAGGTAGAAACTGATGAAAAAAAATCTCATTTTTGTGTATATTTTCCAAAACTTAATTTTGTCCACAAAAATCTCAATCAAACTTAAATTAAGTTTTTAGCAAACTTTACGAATAAATTTCCATAAAATTTTCCACAAGGACATCACCAACGCACATCCATACACATCATAAGCATAATACGTTGAGATCTCCATAATTCTTTCTTTAATCATCTCATATCACATCTTATATTCCTTCAACTCTCATTATTTTTATCTCATTTGTTATTTCGTTCCGTCTTCCTCATAAAACAAGAAGCAGAAGCAGAAACTTTCTTTTCTTTTCTCGCATATTTTTTCTCAATCTTCATAAATTTTATTCCTCTTTCATCTTTGTTCCTTACTCTGATCTCATTTCAACTTAATTTAAAAAAAATATCTTTATAAAAACCTCACTTCCAACTAATGATATTTAATAATCTTCATAAAACAACATGAGAAGAGAAGTTTGAAATAAAAAAAAATTGCTGACAGTGAAAAAATGCATAAAAGCCATACAGACAAGATCAGAATTTCATCATGTTTAGTTGTTCTTCCTCGGTTTTGGCTTTAGCGGGGTTTTTTGTGAGTCAAATTAAGGTTAGATGTGTAGGTTTGAAGATGATGAGATATATAGTTTAATTATACGATGTAGATCAGTTATGGGGAAGTTGTTTGTATACTGATTAATTCAGCAATTGACATTTTGCGTCATGATGTTGTGTCTTGAAGTGGGCTTATTTCAAATTAAAGTTATTTGAGTGGCTTTAGATGTTTTTGTGTCTGTGGACTCTTTGTAGTTTTAAGATTAAATTGTGACACTCTAGTAATCGACCACCCACACACTTAGACAGCTAGAAACCAAAAAAGCTAGGAATTTAGACTTTGTGCACAATAAAACAACAGGTCATCTAGACACCCAGACTAGCATACACTTAGACACTTGGATACCTAGTCAACTCCTCAAGAAATAAAGTAAGCTTGTCTAGTTGAGTAGAGGCACTCGCTTTTGTGTACCCCCCCCACTTAGGTATCTATATGCACACATTCTAGAAAAAACAAGCAATAAACCATAATCAGGACCTTCCTTACTTGCTTCCATATTTCTTGAACTAGTTTTTATCTTTTTCCGTTTAACTTTATTTTTTTTCCTGCTGCATGAAAAACGACTAAGAAGATGAAAAAGCGAATCTTCTTCACACATCCATACATAGTGTATAACGCGATAAAAAATTGTTTTCATTTTCTTATCATTTCTCTCCTCTCTGGAAAAACCAAACATTCAAGGCAATGACAATGAAATAGGGTTATAGTGTGTCTGCGCTTGATTCATGTGTGCTTCTGGTGCAGTCATAAATAGCAAGAAAAAAATAGTGTGAAGAAGAAATGTTAAAATGAGAAATGACAATAAATGTCTTCAATATGAAAGTTGATGGAGCTGTGTAGCTGTGGAAAAGTGGAGCAATGAGGATGTAACAAGGAAGAAGATAATAAAAATGATAAACTTTTGTTTGAGATGAAATTCAATACAGAATCTCATTTTAGCAATAATAATAAATTGATAAAAATTTGTTATTTTCTTCGTCTTATTTATCACGTATTTTCAGTAGCTGGATACATATTATACACATGCTAGGTGACGAAAAAATATGATGAGAAAATAAGAATCTTTTTTTCTCGAGTTTCAAAACTCAAATTAAAAGTTTTTTGTCGTTTTTGGATCAAAAAGAATTTTTTCTTTGCAAAAAGGAAGGGGATGTTGAACAGCACGAAGCTTTAGCAAGCTCACTTCTTTATATTTATTTATTTTGTTGATTCTGAAGTTCTTTATTGAGAAAGAAATTTTTTTTGCGTGTTTTTCTTTCGCTTTTTTTATTTATTTTTTCCATAAGTAAATCATTTGAAATTTTTCTTTTTGTGGATGGGGATTCAACTTTTTATTTTGTGCTGTAATGAGATGTGTTACTTTTGAATTTAAATGAGCTGGTAGATGTCATTAGCGATTTGGATTTGTTTGAGAAATAAGAAACATCAAAAATATGTGAAATGGAAGAAGATGGAAGTTTTATAATTGAATATTACTTATTGCATGGTAGCTGGGGGAGAGGGGGCTGGTGCCTTTAAAAAGTTGTTGAAAATCGAAAGACTAGAGGTGCTTCTTTTTAGATTGACAAAGCTATCCATTTGTCTGAGTTGAACAGTTAAGAACCTCCCAATTTTAACTATAAGACATTACATTAGCTTCATCCTAACAGCTACTAAGATCCCCCTACTTACGAATAAAGTTTGTTTGATAACTCAAAAAATGAGAAATTTATAAAAACTTTATAATTTGAAAAAATAATCCAAAAATCTCTTAAATGACACACAATTCCAAAAAATATATAATCAACAAACTCATGTCTTACTCAACTTCACAAATTTTCTTCATGGTTCATCAAATTTGAATCAACTTCATCTTCTACTTCCTTAAAAAAATAAATTCACAATGCTTGTTAAATTTTCAAAACCATTTCCATTGCTCCACAATCACTTAATCTCTTTTTCCTTCTAAGCCCATTTGACATTGAGATGCCAAAAAGCCACCCCAAAAAGTTCATCTGCCAATACACACAACACAAACATTTCACATTTCAATAATTTAATTTCATTTTAAGAAGAAGAAGAAGGCACACAAAAAAAAAACCATGACAAGAAAGAAAAATGCTTGAGAATGTGTGTGAGACAATAAATGGATTCATTTCAATCCTTCCGATATATATTATGGCACATAACAAAAAAGACAGAAGAATATCATAGTAGTAAGGAAGATCATAAAGAAAACTTTTTCCATTTTTTTTGTTCTTCATTCTTTTCTATGCCGTCGCCTTTTGCCATATGAGAGCAGCAGCAGCTTTTTTTCGATGCTATATGCCATCCAGATATAAGTATCTGTATGTAGACATATAAATATGTAACATGACATACATTATAAGAGTGTATAAGAATAAGATGATGATGATTCAAGTAGGAAGTGGAAATGATAAAAAGGTTGTGATGGTTGACGCATCTTAATGGTGGTGATTATAAGAAATTGAGCTTTTTGAAGCTTTATAAACAGTGTTTAGGATGATACATTGTGATTTATAATTCATCTTTTGATATAGTATCGATAGCTACAGTAGTTATGGACTAGCTTTTTGAATTATAAGGCTAGCTTCAATATTAGGGACAATAGTAATCAATGCATCTAATCTATCCCATCAATTATCTCCCATAAATCAAAAATACCACAAAAAAAAAGACAAATGTCAAAGTCTCACTTCTTTCAAACACCTCAAAAGCTTTCAAAGAATACAAGCCAAATAAAAAGAAAACAAAGAAAAGGAGAGCAAAAAGCACATAAGTTTCAAAACCGAATAATGGAAGCTGAATGAATCATATTATATTAAGGTATTAAGGATGGAAGCATAATTTATATAACGACTTCCGTGTTCCTTCAACTTTGTTTCTTCTTATTCACTCCGTGTGTCTCACAAGTATGTTGCCAGTTTCCTGTTTCACACATACATTTATAAAGAGCTTAAGCTTGCATGGATGCCAGGATAGTTTTTGAACAGCATATGAATATATGAGGAAGGAAAGGAAAGGGTTTGAAGGATCAGGGTTGAGTTATATGTTTTTTTGGTGTTTTTGAAGCTAGTTTGAAGATTGCTTATGAAATTGTACGTTGTGTTATTGAGATGTGACCAAGGTGTTAGTCTTGATGGGGTTTTTAGATTAACATATCCAGAGAGAGGTTTGATTTTGAGGTTATGATATAAAAATAGGTTGCTGTGGTACAGGATGGGCTAGTAAGCTATTTGTGATCTCATCTTCGTGTGATGTTTCTCTTAAAACTTGCATACCTACAATTTTATCAAAATTCAATGTTCTGTCCAGAATCACAACTTCCAGTGATCAATTTCCACTTTAAAATAACTCATATGAATACAGTGCATGTAACATAATACATCTCACAGGTGCAAATTCATAAAACAAACTCAAAGCCTTAAAAATTCACGAAACATGAAACAGAAAACCCAGATGATGCCAAACCTAATGAAAATTGATAAGTTCCCACCCCTCAGACTCTCCAAAGACATAGTTTGACTACGAAGAGAAATGAATAGATATTATATGCGACAAGACAGATTTTGTGCATACATAAGTGCATGAAGAAGATTCCTTTTTTCCAACATTTTGCACACAGCATACGGTGATGGCAGTGGTAGATATGGGGAAACAAAGATAGAAAGAGACATTTTTCTAGTCGAAGAGTATGAAAATAAAAAAAAAATAAGTTGCAGAAATGGCGGAAGACGTTGGAAAGTTTTTCATCTTGGCTGAATGCTAAAAAAAAACTTTGTCTTCAAAAACTTTTTTGTTTCTCATCATCATGAGAGATCTCTCTTGCGGCATGTTCATTCATATTTGATATTATTTTCTTTCCACTTACTTTGTATCACTTTTTTTCCTCTCTAGTTTTGAGGAGAAGACGGGAATGCTGATACTTTTGACTCTGTCATTCAATTTTTTTACGTCTTTCGCTCTTTTGACTTTTTTTTTCTTGCTTCGTCGTAAAAACTTTTCATGCTTCCTTTCATGCTAGTTTTGTGTCTTATGAGATTTAAGTTATTACTTAAATGAAGACTAAAAAGCAGGAAAAGAAGAAGGAATAACAGAAAATTGAGCACTAAGCAAATTGATTGTTTCAAACTTTTAAGTAGTTTCATTTTCCTAACTTTATTATGGAATAAAGGAAGAAAGGCCCGGTTGGTGGTCTTGATGATGTTGGGGATATCAAATGATTTAGTGTCACAGGTGTCGTAAACGGATGAAAGGTTAGAGAAAGTTTTGTGTTGTTTCAGTTACTTTCGAGTGTGACATTTTAATGGAGGGTTTGTGATGTCATTTTAATGGTTAGGTGTCGTCTTCTGGATGAAAATCAATTTCCTGTGGTGATGGATTATTAAGATTATAGTGGATTTTGGTATGTTTTCAATGGTTTTAAGTATTTTCAAACAAAGAAGCTTTTAAGCATTGATTAGGGATCGGGATTCAATGAATGAGGGTGCGGGGACGGTCCTCAAGACTAGAGTATTGTGTGAGTATCTCAGTGTTACTTTTAAACTCAAGTGAATCAATCAAACCAATTAATATTCATCCTCTGAAATAATATTATAGTCAACATCAACTGGCTCTCGGAAAAAAGTCTCCAAATCAAAATGACCATAAAAGCCTTTTTTTCCTACCCAATTAAATAAAAAAAGGAATAAGAAAAAAAGTTTTCCTTTAAGTGCATCATCCACTTAAGTGCTGAGAAAGGCAGAGCTAAAACTAAGAGAGAAAATATGAAGACGAAAGAAAATTGAATGAGAGGAAAACAAATTAATTAATTAATTAATTAGCAAACAAGTGATGTCAAATTAGCACCTCATCACAGACAGTTTTTTTCCCTTCTACTTCTGTACTTTTTTTGTGTGCTTTTTCTTCGTTTTTTTGTTTGTTTACTAATGAAATATACACACCTATATTCATCTAGACAGTTTTACATACGTAACATAACATGCTAGAGAAAAATGAGTTGCCAAATAGTGTCGAAAGGAAATTAATGGAAGAAAACTTTCTTTTACGTGCTGTGAGTGTATGGAAGCTTTTTTATTGCCTTCATTATGACAGCGATGTGTTGGTCATATGTTGGTGATTATTGATGTCCTTTCAGGGGTGTTCGGATGTTTGCTGGTAATATTTGGGTAGCTTTCGGATTGATTTACTAGCTACAAGTTACTATCAATCAGCTCTTAGCAACTAGACACTAGCTACAAGTCTATGTATAGAATTTATTAGCATTAGGATTTTTTTGTACCCCAAAAATGTTTTACATTCTATTCCATCCATAGATTTGATTTTAAGCTTTTGTCACACTGTGAATAATTAAATGATAAATTATTCATAAGATGAGATCTTTCCATTATTCAGTGATGCCTTTCATGGAGCTAAATTACTATTTACAGAATGTCTGCACTTTCTGCTCGTATTTTCAGCATAAACTTCTAAACCGCACTTAATTTATTCAACTCAAAGTGACACTTACAATTCGAAAACAAAATCTTTTTGTGGAAAAGATTCAGACTTTGGAATAAAATTATTTCAATGTCAGTTACATTTACAGTTTACAATTTTATTGTTGACTATGTCTAAGTGCTTGATGTGAGGATATTAACACTGAATGTTATGATGCATCGATTAGTAAAATTGAATGCTTTTCTATTAAAATCAATTTTAATGAATGAAGAATTTTGAGTAAAGCAATTGAATTTTGCATTTTTCATACCTGATACCTCAATTAAGTCCAAAATATTCTAATTCAAAATTTTAAATGATTAAACTAATTTCAGCTCACCACCCTCATCATACGCATCATCATCATAGTCATCATCACAATCATCACCATCCGCATAGAGCACAAGATCAAAATCAACAGTCATCGATACCACCAGTCGACTTAGAAATGTCGAAAATACAAGATATAGAGGAGGGACAGAAAATTGTAATGCAGTCACAAAATAACAATCATGTGATTCACAATGAGACGAATGGAAGCAACAGTGCACCTAAAATGTAAGAGAGAAAAAAATGGTTTTAGTGGCTTTTCGAATTAAACTTCATTGTGGCTTTTACAAACAAAATGAACAAATTTTTCTATGTCTTTTGTGAACTGTTTGGGTGTGATTTGAAAATGAACTCAGTCACTTTTTAAGACCATTTGTCAATAGTCCTCTAAGTCTCCTTAGAGGCTCTAAGCAAACCAAGTCAACCCAGTATGCGAATCCTACATAATTGGTCTAAACTAAGCTTCTCTAGCTTTATCCCAACTTCGAGCAGAAATAAACGAGATGCCAGCCTTGCTTAAGCCTTTTTTCTCTCAAAATTCCGCATCCAAAAATAAATTGTTGCAAACTTTACAGCAAATATTTTAATCAAAATAATTTCAAACCACTACATCCACCAACAGTTCCTACAAAACTTTTACATTCTCCGTAAATTCTCTAAAACAACACAAAAAGCTCTCAAAACTATTATTTTATACTAAAGCTTTAGAATTAAAAATGTTCAATTTCTGTATCTACTTTTCTCTTCCATAGATGGCTATATCTAATAAAGCACTGGCCAGTTGCATCGCAACCGATTGCATTGGTGATAATTTTCCTCTTAAGCTGGGGCATTGCTTCATCCTTATTTCCGGGTCAGGTTTATATTCATTCAACCATAATGCGAATAATCTTTCTTTTCATCGGTGGACAAGCATGCGGATATTTGGTTAGTTTCGTTGGCTTGCCAGGTAAGAGATTTTTACTACTATAGCAACCTCCTTTTTCTGTCGTTATCTTAAAATATCGTTATAGTTATTGCTTGTCATTATTATTTTCTCTCTGCAACTATCTGTCGCTATCACAACTTTTTTGTTTCTCTTTCCATTACGGATGAGATGCTGTAAAGATTTTTTCTTTTTTCGGGGGATCAGTGAAAGGGATCTGTTAGCTGCTTTTTGTAAGAGTTTAAAATTCTGTACACAGCTTTGATAATTTTTGGGATGTAACATAGATTTTAGATTATTTCTATGCACAAAAAGGCTAAAGTGGGACTGCTTGAGAAAGATTGTGATCCCGAGCTGTACATTACAAAGTCTGAAACTTTGTGGTGCTGCTTCGGTTTGTTACTAATTGAATAAAAACTGCTCCTTTAAGGGGTTTTTACAGGGTTTTATGTTGACAGCAAATTAAGGACGTCCCGCCAAAATGCGCATCTCACATCCACCCCAACATCTAATCTAACCTTTTTGTTCCGACATTTTTTGGCTGATAACGTAAAACTTTTTCTTTCAGACAGATTTTCATTAATTTACACATATATATCCACCCACACCTCTCTTCTCATTTAAATCCAGCAAACATAAAAATAAAGAACTTTAAACTTATTTATTTTATCTCATTCATCCCTTTTTACACTTCTTTTCTCTTTCCAAAACAGATATGCTTGGAATGATTGGATTCGGTGGTAAAATGAATTTAGCGTTTTGTGGCTTTTTTTGTCGGTGATGAACAAGATTTTATTTTTATTTTTTGCATGCAGTTCTTTATAAAAACATTGGTGTCGGATACTTTGATGGTTATGAGAAGCTTGAAGCGGCTTTGCGGTAAGTGTTGAAAAAGTTTTTCTTTCTTATTTCAATTGATGATGTTCTGCTTTTTGTGCATGCATTTTTTAATGCGCTTTTGAATGAGAAGTGCAAGATTCTTGCGGATTGTGGTAATTCTTTATAAATATGGCAAGTTGCAGTCATTGTTCCTATTTTTAATTTGAATGGGAAGTGCTTTTTTATAATCTTAATAAGAAGAAGTCAGCAAACTACTTTGAATTTTTTTGTTCTTTTAATGCTTTTACTTTGTGAAATTTTCTTACATCTTCAACCATATGAGGTACAAAGACATAAAAGTAGTACTTTTCCTGAAGCCTTTAATGCAATTTTATCCCACATCCAAAATTAGTTGATTGATGCATGAAAGAAATTAAGAATTCTTCATTAGTTGTCAAAAAAGGCTGAGAATTTAAGATTTTTATTTGAAGATTGATAAATCAGCATTAAAACAAGCGTGTGGAACTGATCAAAATGATCAAAAATGATCATCATTCAATTTAAATGATTATATCCGAGTTCCGAGGCACCCTACCGTATTCTCAGATTAATTTCATTTATATTTCATAATTGGAACATCAAATTTAAATAAATGAAAGATTTATCTTGGTCCAATTCAGAAAGTCTACCCCGAATAATAATGTTTTGCCCAAAAATGTTTAAAGCGCATTTAATTTTCTAACTTGTTTTTTCTTTTCTTTTTTTATTCAAATTAATTTTTCCACTTATTCTTTTTACTCCACAAACCAGCACACAGTTTTCCTACCCTACGATACTTCACATTCACATTAAAAAGTGTCAAGATTCATACTTTTATGCTTACAATAAAAGAAGTTCAAAGGAAAAAAAAATCTTTAATTTTTAATGAATCTCGTTTTTATGGTTCTTAGCAAGTTCTTAGCTTTATATGATGACGATAATGACGGATAAATGTCGAATGAAAGAACTGTAAACTTAAAAAAAAGTGGAATAAAGCTCAAAAATGTGAGCGACAAAAAGGGATGATGATGAAATTAAATCATTGCTATAGACTCATAGCTTCTTTTTTGTATCACTTGAAATAGAATAAAAAAATGAGATCTCATAGGATATTCAGTCAAAAAGGTCCAACTTAAATGAGATTATTTTTATCGTTTGTCGCATTTTTTCTCCATCCCTCATTCTTTTCTCGGTTCCGCTAAAGTCTCTTGAGTGAGATGAGCTTTCTGTTTCTTTGGCTGGCATTTGACTTTCATTTTTTTTGCTGCTCTTCTATGTGCTCTGCTTCTTACTCTCTTTTCTATTCGCATAACTGATGATGCTTCGTTTAGATTAAAATGATAGCACAAGCCATATAGATACTCTACAGCGACCAAACCTAATTTTTCATTCTTTTTTTGCCTCTCTCATTTTTTATGACTTTATTATTCTCACTTGAGGTTGTGTCGAAGAGCCTTTTAAAGGCTTTTAAAAATAAACAAAGATTATGCGAGAATATTTTTTGGTGTTATGGAAAAAAATGGGATTTTGTTTTGGGAAGGGATGAATATTTCAGTAACCAGGCTGTTTTGTCTTGGTTGTGGTAAAAGCCACATTTATTTTTGACTGCTACGTATTGTTGTTTAGGAGTTGTTTGTATTGGAAATTCAATTTTAAAATTTCCTTATTTTCATATCAGTTTTAGAAGTGAACAAACACTAAGGCTGAACATGGTCGTCCCTAGACTAGATAACTGACTAGATAACTGACTAGACAGATATCTAAAGGCCTAAAGACATACTATTTAACTGTCAAGTCTGGAGGGATGCTCAGGGGTTCTTTTGATATCCAGATTATTAAGTTTATTAAGTTTAAATTTTCTCAGAATTTTATGAATAATTGAATTTATTCTCACCGAAAGAAAAAAAGTTAAAAATTCACTCCCCTTTGACTTTCAGACACGAGGACTAAAACTTTTAAAAGTTTCAATGTCAACAGTCCTTTTTTTTCTTTCCAAAAAAACGGTCAAAGTCTCTTAAGAATTCTTCAAAAATCCTTTGCCTTTATGCCTTCCTTCTATATCGATCTTCAATTTTTTTTGTCTAGACACAAGAAAAATATTCAATGATTCATATTCTCTGCGTACAGTTTGTGTCATAAAGACAAAAAGGACGTCGCAAACAATCTCTCAATTGCCACAATAATAAATCACAGACTAAGAAGATTAAAAAAATTTTTTTGTTGTCTTTCTTTTGTCAAGAAACAATGTCAACTTTTCATCTATGCCTTTAGTTCTGTATTCTTCATTCATCAAAGAATGGAAAAATTTTTATGATGAGAAAAGAAAGAAAGAAAATTTCATAATGAAAAAGTGTAAAGAAAATTTGTTTATAGCAGAGAAAAAAAAGAGAATGAAAACTTATTGGAACTGAGGAAAGATGATGAAAATTTTTTGAGGAGATAAAGAAAAACTGAATAATTTTCAATAACTGAATTTATGGAAAAGTTTTGAGCGTTATGAATATTCATTTGTGTAAACAGCTTTTTTGTAGAGTTGTGGATGTTATTATTGAGAATTTTTATAGGGGTTGTTCACAAATGACATTGTTCAATTAAAAAAAGGGGTCTTTAGAGTCTGTTCCTATTAATCATACCATTTTGAATGAAATATTTGCTACTGACAACGATTTTTATGTTGAATTTCATAAATTTCTTAGTGCTTTACAGAAAAAATCATGCACAATTTCACTCGTCATCAATATTCCATCCTATCCCAAACACATCACCAATTAACAAACATTCCAAATATTTATTCAAATTTAATCAAAAACTTTTCAATTATTGATATTTTCTCCCCACAAATATACACAAACAGAGAGATGGCATTAGTCAACATTATGCTGCTGGCAGGTCTGGGCCTCGATCTCGATGCATTGAAGGCACTATTTGGTATCATAATGAGATTAACACTCATTCCAACGGCAACAGAAGTCGCAGTTATTGCTGTATGTGTACATTATTTATTAAATTTTCCATGGCTGTGGGGTATACTATTAGGGTAAGTTGCATGCAATTTCCATTTACTTTATTTTTTAAAATTACATAAAAGCCATTCGGAGGATGTGTGTATCGGCTTGTACATAATCAAGCTACTATTGCCTCACGTACGATTTTTGCTATGCTGTGCTGTATGGTGGTTGTTTTATGTTATTTGGATGATTTCGTCAGGTTCTGTGGGCAGATTTGAGAGGCAATTGCCCTTTAAACGCTAGAATTTAAGGTTATAAAAGGTCCAAAGCTACTAAACATCAAGAGGTGGGAGAGATCAACTAAGTTATGCCACATCCTGACAAAATTCTCACAAAGACCATCCAAAAAACACCAACAACTGCTATTGTACATAATGGAATATGAGAAGAGAGTTGTAAACATGCAGCGTTAAGCTTTTCATGCTTTTACAAGCAAATACAAAAAGCTTACATCACCACACACTCACACACCAAACTCACTTGTTTCATTTTCTCGCCCAAGTATCGTTTCTATATTTGAAATACGAGCTGATTCTCTTACCGGTGCTGCTGCTGCCTTGTTTAGTATTTTGAATGCACTTTTTTCCCCTCTTTGTTGTTCCATGCTCTTACGAGCTGGATAAAAGGATGAAAAGGAGGGAAAAAAAAATTCTGAAGCGACTCAAAAATGCAAATTATTTTTCATTTGTGGGATGTGTGGGGTGGACTGTGTTTAATATTGGGAGGAAATTGAGCTTTTGAGAGAACTGCTTTGGAAATTTTTAAGATTAAGTAAAATTATTGAAAATTCAGATATTGTTGGTGATTCTTGTTTTAATCGTTGCTTTGACGTTTGACATTTTAGCTTTGTTCCTTGTAAATTTAAAGGTAGGAAGAGTCGATCCTATTCCCGAGTATATTTTTTAAAAATTTAAGAATTGCTTCTCAACAGCCAGATAGGAACAAAAGCGAGAGGTTTATTAATATAAAATCTTAATTAAAAATTGCTCTGCATATACACAGCTTTATGCTGCATAATGATTCTTTTCTTCTCGTCTCGCTTTTTGTTGCTATGTATGTGGCTTACTTTCTCTCTCGCTTATATAATTTTTTTAAAATGAAAATATATGAGATGAAAGTGTATTGTTCACATCCATGTAAATATGAAGTGCTTTAAGTGTAATTGGTCTGGATGTAATTTAAAAATGGGGTCCACTGAACAGGGGTGTATCTATAAATTAGTAAAGAAGCTTTAAAATTTTAGAATCTTCAATTTTATCAGCTTTTTTTTTGTCCAGTTCTTCCCTTTTACTTAGCCTGTTTGTGACATGCTTATGAAGTTTGCAATGCATTAACATAATTCACAAAAACGTGTACGATGTCATTTGATGTGTATGATGTGAACATCCACAATGAGCTACTTAAAAGAAGGAAAAAAATTCCCGCGTTGAGAATGACACTTGAAAATGCATGAAAAAACGTAGGCAATTAAAACTAAATTACTTCCGTCAGTGATTTTTCACTTATAAAAGTTGAATAAGAGCAGTAAATTAGCAAGCATATGCATTGCTTTTGAATGAAAGAATTCTGTAGGACTAAAAAAATTCTCGCATTTGTTGAAGTTGAAAAATCTCACCTAGATTTGAATTACTGTGAAATCCGTTCAGATTTACATTCATTAAGGCAGACATACTCAATCGACAAAGGATTTGAATTTTTTGGAGCATAAACTCTTGTGTTGTTAATAAAATGATGTTTTTTGCAAGAGTTATGGTTGGTTTTTGCCATTTTTGTTGGGAAATTAATTGGCATTTGAAAAAAATATGGAACAACTTTAGTGATTATTTAAGCATTGAATTACTGAACAAGCCAAGATCAATCTCAAAAGGATCTTCAAGTTCAGCTATTTAACGACCTTCTTTAAAGGCACATCTTTCAGAAATCTTTAAAAATAATCTAGTAAAGCAGCTTATCCTCGCATTATAGTTGTCTATGATTCAAGATATCCATAACTTCTTTTGAATTACCAAAACATTCATAAAGCATAAGAACAAAATACACAGTTTAATTTAATTAATTTCATCATTAACCATTTCCATCGTATTTCGAATGTTTTAATTAAAGGAAATCAAGCATTTTAATTGCGAATCTACAAAAATATTTCACATTCTAGTGAACAAGAAAATTCAAAACATTTGGCATAAATAGAAGAAATTTAAATTTTTGGAGCTTTTTTTATGGCGAAAAATGAAAGAGAGAAATTTTCTACATCCATCAGTAAGAAGCCACAAGTGTTTGATAATAAAAATTTGTCTTCTTTTGGTTTCCTCTCTTTTTCTTTCATCCTCATTTCAATTTTTCATGGTTAATTTATATATATATAATGTGTGAAGGGCCCAGCCTTTCAGCTGGAGGCACTGCGATTCAAATTAGAACAGAATCTATTGTACCACACCCTTTAGACCTACAGTTTATAGTGGGATCCGAACCACTTGCAAGCTCTGTACATTGCAAAGACACGAGTACGTCATAAGACCTGATGTACCCTGCAATGTACCTAGTCACAATCCGTGTGCGCAAGATGCCGTAAGGAAGTCATCCAGATGCTAGTATATCCTTGTATACCTAGCAAAGGAGGCATATTCTATGCCAAAGACATCAATACTACACCCAACACACGAACCGAGCTTCGTAACTAGAACGGTGAAATGGAAAAAGAGCTTCGAAAATTAGACATGGCCTGGGATTGAACCCAGGACCTTTGGCACAGAAGGCCAACGCTCTACCATTTAGGTCACTGATGCCATTTCACCTGTTAAAAAAAATCTTTGAATTTAAAATATGAAAAATAATTTTCTGATGAGTAAGAAGGGGAAAATCTCTGTCAATGGATTTGGGTAGCTGTAATTTTTATTGTGTTTGAATTTTGAGTTTTAAGACAGTTTGGGTGTTTTAAGCAAGGTTGCAGAACTGATGATATGATCAAAATTGATCAAATGGTTTTCTTCAGTTCCGCACCCTTGGTTTTAAGGCGTCGGTAGGTTTTAATGTCAAAATGACCCTAGTTCACCAATTTAAGGGTAAAGTACCACTCTCTTCCCAAGAAATCACTCAAAAACTCCTCAAATCTTTAAAAAATCTCAACAAAGAAAACTCTCACTCTCAAAAAGACGCCTCCATCCATCCTTATCCATCTTAAATGACTATCGTAACACTAATTCCAGTGTGATTCTCGAAAAGGAAAACTTTTCAACACAGCGTACGAAAAAAATAATTAAAAGCAGCTGGCGAGAAGCTAAAAATATGTTATATATATTTTTTCTCGAAAGCACATACACACATAGCAAGGCAATGGCACACAGCAATGAAAGGAAAGAATTTTCTTTTACCCTCCCCGCTCGCACCATCCAGCATAATGTGCTTTTAAATTTCATTTCATTTTAATTTTTTTTCTCGTTTTTTTTTTCTTTTACCGTCCTTTTTAAACAAACCTCCACCATAGCCTGGTAGTGACGGCAATTTCACCTAATGTTGTCGTTACTATTTTATTAAAACTGAAAGAGGAACGTTTAGGTAAGGACTTTTGTGCATGATCATGAAAGGCACATGAAAATAATATAAAAATGAGATTAATTTTGAAATGCAAATCATTAAATTCTCATTTTGCATCGTTTCCGGAATTGCGTTCAACTATGATGATGATGATGATGATTATGGCATTTACAAAACATTCGGATATTAGGCTTAAATAAAGGAATTCATACAGTCATTATAGGTAAATTATTAAATTGTTCTACATCCTTCAAGCAAATTTTCAATTTTCTATTACCACTTTCCACACAGCCGTAACCAGTTGCAATGATGTCATCGCAATTTTTCTATTTGGCGTTCTACTCGGAATCGCATTCTCGACAGGCAATTTAACTCATCAATTATTGCAAGGACCAGTTGGCATTGTTATGGGCTGCGTATTCGGTGCTGTGTCTGGCTTGGTGATTCTCAAATTTCCATCTGATAAATCGGTACGTATATTCATTTCATTTCATTTCATCTCTCTTAGTCGGTCGGGTACAGAAGAACTGAACAAAATGTACGAGAGTATAATGCAATATTTCGTATCACTACCACAGGGGTTGTTTTATAGAAAAAAGAAGAGGAGAAAAAAAAATTGTATCCAATTTAAAATGCAAAATGCTTCGCTGTTCCTTTATCTGATGATGATTCGTTTTTGCATTTTTTTTCTGTTGCTATACTTTTTAGCGAATATTTTTGGGGATGGTGGTTAAGTTTGATGACAATTTGTGCACGAGTTTTGTGGAGGATTTTGGTATTTTTGAACCAAATCTCCTGATAAAGTCTGATAAAGCTACTGTTGAGTTTTGTTGAGATCTAGTTGATTTTAGGCAAAGGTTCGCTGCTGTGGTAGTCTCAAAACAGAAATAGCTTTGTCATGATTAGGGTAAGCTTCAAGAGTGGTAAAGATCCTGGAAACTGGAAGGTACATATGGGAAGATGCTAGAAGTTTGAGACAATTAAGAACTATTCGCCACTCAATCTCTAGTGCGTCTTAATTGCCATCAACAACAACTCAAAACTTCACTCATTTCATTGTTAAAAGCTTTTCATGCTTTTGCCTTTGTCTACATTTTTCATCTCCCTATCTATATCCACATGCATCTATTCTTCACTCACTTTCCTCCCAACATGTATCATAGCACTATTTAGTTTGCATTTCATGAAACGTATACATTTAAATGTGTGTGTCTGTATGTCTGTTTGTAGCAATGGCAAAAGAATAATTTGTTTTATGATTGACATGAATGTACTTTGGGTTGTTATAGTTGATGGCTCAAAATTTAAAATATGAACCGAAATGATGAAATAAAAGAGAAAGTTTTAATAGTTTTATTTTTATATTTTTGCTGTGTATGCAGCAACTTAATGGCTTTGGAAATAATAACAAGTTCTGATCCGTCCTTTGTTCAATTTTGATTATGACTCTTTTTTTTGGCGTTCTGAATTTATTAAAATTTATTTTTTTTGCGACTGTTATTTTTTGTGCAATTTGTTGTGCGAATTTTGATTGAATCAGTAAATCAGCGATGCTTGATATTCTGAAAATTTTGAGTTAAAATTCTGAAGCAATATGAAGGGTTTATCCATTTATGATGACCAGCACTTATTGAGTTTAATAGGGATATGCAAACTTAGGTAGATTCTCAAAGTTTTTGGTACGTCTGATTGCTAGTTTCTCAGTGCTTAGGAACAGACCCAAGAAATTGCAGCTTCTAAAGAAAAATTCAAAAATTCCATTCTCGTTGGACAAAACCCATAAACGTTCCACAAATCAAAATTGATACAAAAAGTTTCAAGTCGCTTAAACTCAATCTAAAGATTCCATTTTGTACCTCGTTAGATAAAAAAAATCACAAAACCATTTCATCCGCAAGCAACAAGAATCTTTTCAATGCAGAACAACTATAAAACAAAACTTTATGAAATGTTTGTGCTTTTTCAAAGTATCTCACAAACAGCATTCAGTTTTCCTTTAATGCGACCCACTTTCACCCACGTAGCTTAAAGAAACTTGATACAAAATCTCACCTCATTTCCATCAACATTTTTATCCACAGAAATATGCAAATGGCTTACGCTTTACAACGATCGTCCTTTGTGGAGCTTTATCAGTGATGGGAAGTAAATATCTAGAATATCCAAGTGCAGGTGCTCTCGGTTGTATATCAGCAAGTTTCGTTGCCGGTACAGGATGGAGACGTCGTCAACTAAAAGACCCAACATTTACAACAGAAGTTGGAACTTATTTAGATTTATTATGGAAGTTCTTGAAGCCAGTGTCATTTAGTTTAATCGGAAAGGAAGTTGACTTTAAAGTGTTGGATGGCAACATCGTTTTATATGGAATGATAGCACTTCTTGCTGGTGTTGCCATTCGTCTTGTGTCCGGTTATTTTTCATTTTGTGGTGGCAATATGAACACTAAGGAGAAAGCTTACATTACTTTGTCTGGATTCCCGAAGGCAACAGGTATGAAAAATTTATTTTTTTATCGTCATTTTTTTCTCGTTTACTGAATCTGCTACTGTAGATGATGCACTTTATCTAATTGTAAAGAACAAAATTATCACAATTTTTTTTTTCTTCTCCCTTCTGCAGTTCAAGCTGCTCTAGGACCCGTTGCATTAGATTTGGCACGATCCCAAAAATCAGACGATGCAACTTACTCGCTGGCAAACAGTGTACTTGTCATATCGGTCTTGGCAATCATTTCAACTGCTCCATTAGGTAAATGTGACAGTCTTTTGTGTGTACAGGCAGGGTTGGGATAAGGTCATTTAGAATTGGTCTAAGTTCTATACACATTGTGGCATTGGTATTTAACATTCTTGAAAGAATCAAGTTTAAGGTCGAAAATGTCTATCCACATTCATGCCCACCTCTGCACTTGCACATACAAACTGAAATAATTGAAATAAAAAAAAAATTCGTTGTCTTTTAATTTTTCATTTCGTCACCCAACAGGAGCTTTGTTGATGACAAAATTAGCACCAAAGTGGCTGAAGAAGGAAAACGCCAACGATGAGGAATTATAACATGTTTAATTTAATTTAATGAGAATTTTTTTGAAGCTCCTCCCACTCTTGCTGCTTTTAATTAAGTTTTCTTGTTCTTTATCCTGCTAAATGATGTTGATGATCATATTCATCTCGTGATTTGGTACTTAGATGAAAAATGTTAGGGATAAATTCGTGTGGGGTACTTAAGCTCTTGAGTCTTATATTTATGGAATTTTTATGATGTGGATTGTATGTAGTTAAATATATATTTTTTGATAGATTAAATTTTAAAGTTTTGTTGAAACTTAATTGACGCATGAAGTTCACTTTTAAAATAAGTACAAGCTTTTAATTTATAGTCTTTAAAATGACATTTTGGGTACTTAATATTCAAGATTTTTAATAGTTTTAATTTCTTAAATATATTTTTCAAAGACTTTAAATACAACTATGTTTATAGGAAACTTAAAATCAACTTAATCTCAAGGACTTAAATCTCTGGGATATTATCAGTAATTTCAGAGAATATTATGAAAATTTTAATTTGTATTTATTTTTATTGTTTGGAATATAAATCAATAAATTATGGATAAATTGATGTGTGTCGAAAAAACAGTCTCTTTTATTATTGGTCTTGTCTCTAGGTCTCTGGTGAAAGCTAGCAAGCGTAAGTAAATTTTCACATGCTTATGACTTAAGCAAAATCTTTTCAAATTCAAAATCAGAAAATCCTAGATATCTGGATCCTCAAACGTAGAATTTGACAATCTTCTTTGGGGCTGTTCACTTATTAAGTAACGCGAAAAAATGACTTCTTAGACCCCCCCCCCTCGTAACAAAATTTTTATGAAAAAAAAAATTCCTTGTTTGAACCGTAACAAAATTTTAGACCCCCCTCCCCCTAAAAGCGTTACGTAATAAGTGAATGGCCCCTTTTTAGCAAACATTTAAAATGTCAAATTCACTGTAAAGAGCCCTAAACCATTTAATCCAAAAATATAAAATTCTGTTGTTTCTGTTTTTTTGAGGTAAACAAGTTCATATTAAATTATCTTTAAGGAATTTTTAGAATTTATTTATTTACTGTACACGTGGATATTCTTGTCATTTTACGCCAACATGTAAAATTTGAAGCATTTATTGATTTTTGTTAAATGAAGAGCTGAGCTTGATTAGTTCACAATCATTCGCCATAATATCATGACATTTATTAAATTTTAAGTCAAGCTTTAAGCACGAACAGCTGAAAAACTTATTTCAACATCCACAATTCACAAAACACTTCAATCTTAAAAGAAGTACAGTAAAATTGATATAAATCAAGAAATTCAAGGCAAATTTGCCTCGTTTTCAAAGAAGAATGACAACGAAAAATAATAAATCATCTCTCAAGAGAGCATTTTGATGCCTAAAGGTATACACAACAATGTCGACGACGATGATGATTTTCGTGGAAAGAACGACAAGCTAAAGTATTTCATTTTTTCTTCATCCAAGTCTCTATCACTCAACTCCTTGTATTGTGCGTTTAAATGAGTAACAAGAGGAAAAAGGTTCAAATCGAAACCTTTTTTTTTGCTCTCATTCAATGATGATCTCGATCGGAAGGGATATTGTGCGAAAAATTGATTTTCTTTCCATCTCTTTTTCAGCTTTTCATTTATGGACAGGAAAATAAGAAGGCATCATAGCATAAAATGCTGAACTTATGTTATAAATTTTCTTTGCTTTTATGATTTGATGCTGTATATTTTCATGTGTGCAAGACTTTTACGTTCATGCTTGGAATGTGTTAATAATTTTGCTTTTCTTTCCTTGAAGATGAAGCTCGTGTTATCCTCGAAGGTATTGCATATTAATCTTTGCGGTAATATGTTTAGCTTCATATTGTTGAGTGATAATTTTATTGGTGATTTGTTGAATTTTATACTGTTTTTAATTATTGGCATGGTCTTTTCTAGGTCTGCTACTGCTTATAATCTCAGGTTACGGATTCATGATTTAGAAGTTTTCAGTAAATTAATTATTATATCCATAGATAAGGACTATACTTCCTACAAAAGTCTCCAGAATTCTCTATATTTATCTTACATGATGCATCAATTTAGGTCCTCACATCCTTTATAACAAAATATGTGCGTGCAATTTTTTTTCTACTTTTAAATCTCCTTCCTCACGTCTCTCAAAATCACATTTTTGTTGTGTGAATTGAAAAGGAATTGCATAAAAAGTAGAGAGATTGATGTGTTATTGAAAGAAGAAAATCTGTGGCATTCAAAAAAAAGGGAGCAGTAAGAGGATATTTGGGATTTTGTGTATTAAAGACATTCGCATCAAAAAAGGAGGCAAAAAAGGATGAGCCTTGGAGTTATTGAGGCACTTTGGATTTGTGCTTTTGAAGATTTTTTATGGTTTATCAAAATGTAAGTGCTTAATAAATCTCAGATTGGGATTTTTATTGGTTTGAATTTGGGTCAGGTTTGATGATTTTTTCCCTTGAAAGCTTTCTGGCTTGAATCAGATTTTTTGTGGATTTTTGATGGAATTTAAGGTGAATTTTATGGATTGGTTGATTGGGTATAAGGATGAGAAACGTCAGATAAACAAATCTGAGCTTCAAATCATGCATTTTTCATCTCATAGTTTACCTCTAATGAAAATAATTAAGTAAACTATTTCTAAATGCATCCAGCTCTCAATTAAACATCGCTCACATGCAAGTAAATTCCTCGAAGTTCTCTATTTCATCAGTAAATTTCGTCCGTACAAAGCCAAAGCAAATTTAATACCATTGATATTCAATATTCATTTCGTTCGCTTTGCAATCCCATTCCTTAATCAGCAACGCTATCCACTACCTGCTCGCCTCTTCGCCTGCCTATCTATCTATGCTACCTTCATTTTCATGCTTCATCAATTTATTTGTACTATAGTATACAACATGATGTTGGATATAATATAATATGGAGACAGAGAACGGAGGAGGAGGTGGACAGAGAGATAGAAAAGAGATATGAAGTAAATGAAAAAAGCTTTCAATCTGATGGACAGCGAAAAAACACATAAATAAATCACTGTTCATGTTTTATCGAGCAGATGCCTTTGTTTGTGAATGTATGAGTAAACCTTTGTGTGTGTATAAATTTTACATCAAGAGCTTTGCTCTTTGTAGCTGAAATTTAAAGCGAAATAAATATTTTAAAATTTTATTACGATTCTGACTGGCTGAAGGGATTAATGATGAATATAATTTTTGGACTTTGATGTCATTTGGTTTCTTGGTAACAGAATATAAGCTTAATTTGAATTGTCAATGTGTAAATTTATTTTTGATAATAATGTCAATTAAATTGCATTTGGTTGGATCATATGCACTTGTTGAATTCCCGAAAATGGTTTTGAATAATGGATTTGAATGTAAACTAGAAATATTGGTCATTATATGCTGCCAACGAGTTCTCAAAATTCCCAGGTCACTTCTCCATTCTTGTTGGCTGTTCCTGGAACTAGAACTCATCCTCAAAGCTTTAATAATTCATTAAATGACTATACAAACAAACCTTAAAAATGCGTACAATTCTCCTTTGAATCCCCTCGTATTTTACACTTTTTACTGCTCACTTTTCCAGTATTGATGCTATTATCACTGCCTTTGCTATTCCTATATCATCATCATCATCATCATCGTCATCGTCATACCTTTAAAAGTAATTGAAGCTTTTGAAATGAATGAATTAGATGAGATGAATGAATAGAGAGCTATTGATGCCTTTGCCCTCTATGTTCGTGTGCCCTACATCAACGCCGTAAATTCTCATTTTCCAATATATGAAAGCGAGGTGAGAGAAACAAATAATGAACGAAAAAAAGAAAAATGTGAAAAAATAAATTTACAAAAAAAATATTTTTTTGTATATATACAAAAGGAGGCAGGCATGAATAACAAGATTACAGCTTCAAGCACTCTTTTCATATCGAATTCTGTACTGGAATGTTAAAACGTAAAAAGGAAGCAGATTTTTCGGTGAATTGAGTTTTAATAAAAAAAAAAAAATTTACACTGATTTTTTTGTAACACTTCTGATTAAACATTATCTCAGTTTAACCAGTAATAGCAGACGGTTGGAGAAATGCTTGTATTTTACTATAAACAAAAGGATGAATAAACGTAAATGACCATGGGGATAATGAAAGTGTTGGATATTCCAAAAAAAAAGAAATTTAAAAACATTTCAGTTCATCGCTCTGGGGAAGGATTTCTTTATTAGGTAAAATTTGTTCTGCTGATGGATGGTAAGCACAAATGAATAGTACACAAAAGGTTTGAGTGAGATGAAAACGAGTAGGAGAGATTAATGGATTAAAGGTAGAATAGAGGCTTTAATTTCTTAAGTTTTCTATGGGACTTTTTTGAAAACCAAATTTAACCATTTTTTTCTGAATCAAAGCTAATTTTTGATGCAAAAATTTTCGCATCTTTTTTACTGAACGCACTTTTGATGCAGAAAAATTTCGCATCATTTTTGCTGAACTCACTGTTGTTTCAAAATCTAAAACTTAACGTACCTATCCTATGCATAATCAAGCCACTCCTTCTAAAAATCTTTAATCTCAGATCCTCAAATTATGTGTTTCATTACTCCATAAAATTAAGGTCCAATCATTTGAGACTGCACATCTCTTTATAATCGCCTTTATCTTTTGTCTATCCTTTTTCTCGTTCCCTTTTTATTTTCAATGTATGCTCAATTTGTATTAATGAACTAATCAGGACATTCGCACATCTTTTGTGTGTGCCTTGATTCGATTGAGAGGCTTTTATTTGTGAAGTCCTTGTTGTGCATGTTGAAGGCTTGAATTGATGTTTGAATTGAAAGTTCTTTTATTAGAATTAAAGAGGATGTAGAGATTTTTGATGAGGATTAAAATTTGAGCGTTGCAAGGTAATTGATTAATGAAGAGTTGAATATAAATTTTCTTCTCATTGGGCTGAGAAGCCAGTGGTTGCTAATTCAGCAGGATCTCACTCAAAACATCTAATCCAACTTAAATTCCAAAGCAATAATCCTCCAACAAAAACGATTCATTACCCGCATTATCACCGTCGTATCCATCCTCATTGTCATCAATTTATTTCAATATTCTTACTCTTACTCTTACTTTGGTTTTTTATAGCTCCTACAGCATTCCTTCCGTATTTTACATCAAAGCAAAATAATATGAAGGCAATAAAAAGGAACTCACACACCTCAAAATAATCTCAAAGGCGTCTGAAGACCTTAAAAAAAATTCCTTTTCATTCAACTTATTTTCTGCTTCTTTTCCTTTCCTTTCCACTTCATCCTAATAATTTATTTATACGTAAAAGCTTATATATTATTCCATAACGGATAAGAAGCAGAAAAAAAATCATAAACCTTAAAATATT